TTTTGTTTGTTTTTGTTTTTGTTTTTGTTTTTTAGATTCCACACATGAGCGATCTCATATGGTATTTTTCTTTCTCTTTCTGGCTTATTTCACTTAGAATAACATTCTCCAGGAGAAGGCAGTGTTTTAAACACAGGAATACTTGCCTTCTGCTTTAGGGCAGGGAAACCACTCATGGATAGCTTTTGTGTTGTGCTGTGCAGTCTATTTTATGATCAGTTGTGAGAACTTGCATGGAATGTTGGGAGATAGAGACAAAACATTTTTCAAACACTAATGCCAGGTCCACAGAGACCATCTCACTTGATTCCACAGCACTTCTGGGGTAGGTACTGTTAACATCATTCCCATTTAACTGATGAGGAAACTGAGACAAGAAGATTAAGTAACTTGCCCAGAGCACCATGGATCCATGGATCCAAGTAGTCTGGCTTCAGAGCCTGCACTCAGAACTGTTCTGCAGGACTCCTTTCCTGATGGGGGCTCAGTAGCCCCTTGTCTGTTTCTTAGGATGGTCACAGCTGCAAGCAGGGAAGACCACTGCTGCAGTGTGCTCCCCAGCGGACGTCTACCAGGGTGGGTGCTTCTCCTTCAGTTGTAGCTGACATCAAGCACACCCTTGCTTTGTTCTGTTCCTTTTCTGAGTTCCAGGATCTCATGGCTGAATTTGTTTTCTCTTCATTTTTCACAGGTTAAGTATTACTTGTGCTTCAGTTGCTTTCAGAGGAATTATTTATTCTTGAGGCTAATATTCCATCAAGATGGCTTTCAAGGCTGGAGCACATCCTTTTTTTATCCTCCTAACCTGAGCCAAGAGCCCCGGGACTGTGGACATTCCAATGGGGGATCCCCTGGTGAGGAAGCCTACGTGTGTTGTCATGAGCATGGCAGCTTCGTCCCGTATTTATGATGCTGTTTATGTTGCTTTTGCTGTCTGAACACTTGCTAAAGTAACATTTCAGAAGAGGTGGAAGAAGTTACATTTAGAAATGTGGCATTCAGTGAAATGCTTACATTCTAGAGTAAGTTAGACCAGCAGTTACACATTTGATTGTTTTGTAATGATATTGAATTGTTTGAGGGAAGGATGGTAGCATTTTACAGAAACCAGTGCCTTCTTTACGTTTCTCTGCGTACTTTTCTGTGTATAAAAATGTGTGTTTGCCTTTGGCTTTCTGCACACCCCGGGAGGGCAGTGGGACAACGTGGAAACCCGCTCATCCTCTGTCCTTCACCGTAAGCATCACATCCCTGACGAAGGCCCATGAACCAGTCCTCTCTTTGACTCGTGCCCTCCACTTCACTGTCAATTTTTGGTCTCCCTCTTTGTGAAGGGTTTAGGGTGACCTCCCTCTAGGGAACTGACTGCTCTTAGAAATTAAGCCAACAGTCTGCACCACCTTGTAGAGTGACCATGCAGTTGACAGAAGCCTTGGGCTTGTAAGCCAGCCAAATGGGAATCCAGGTCCCAGGATTTATAGTTTCATATGATTATAAAACAGATATCAGCAGTTCTGCCATGGAAAGTCTCCTACATGCAATCAAGAATACGTAAGAGTTCTCAGGATTTTGTCATCAACCATTTGTTCCTGCCTTTTTCATCCTGACATATTTGGAGGCCTGCCTAGGTCTACGCCATCAGAAAACCTTAGTCCCTTCTACTCCAGTGCTGACATACCCCAGCCTGGCTCTGCCCATATGGCTGGTGACTCTGCCTTAGAAGTGGGGCCATTATCTCTTAGGAGACTCTCAAACCAGGGATCTTTGCCTTTCAATATATTGTTCCCAAAAGCTGACCCTAGCACATTAAGTACACTATACTGAAACAAGGGTTGCTTACAGTAAAGACTGTTTTTGAGGCTTGGCAGCAAAATTCAGTGACCATAACCCTTGGACTATAGCAGTGACAACTCAGAGACAGGTCACAGCAGGTGAGGGGGGCTGTGTCTTCCTAGTGCTTTGAATGTAACCAACTCGCATGTGCTGGCTGAGCAAAACTGCAGAGGGGGCACCCTTTCCCCAATGCCTGAGTACTTAGGGGAGAAGAGGCAGCCCCACTTGGAAGGTTGTTGGATTGGATATCCCTTATTTTGTCTGTGCAGAACTCTTTTACCCATTTTCTGGTAAAAGACACAATCACGCAGCCTCAGGTGTCCCCTTGTGACTTTCTGCTCTTTCTCTCATATTGTAGCATCTTGGCTGTAGGGGTGCCTTTCCTGCTTCTCTCTGTACGTGAGAGGCTAGGCGTGAACCTTCTGAATTGTCAGTTGTTTCGCATCTTCATTCTTTTTTTTTCTCGCATCTTCATTCTTTTTTTTACCTCGCATCTTCATTCTTAATCTCTTTTGCTTGCTATCCACTGTTTTCTCACATAGGATACAACAAAGAAGGCTTCCTGGCCATACAGCATGCAACAGATAAAGCCATCATGTGGCACCACGCTCTCAATGCAACGACTAAGATGTTTGAGAGCCTCAACGTGCTTGTGAAGAGATTCCCACACGGAGCCTATGTCCAGGACAGGTTCTTCCTGGTCCTGCAGGACGAGTTCCCTGTTCTCCTCATGCTCAGCTTCATCTGCATTGAGCTCATCACCATCAACTCCATTGTACTGGAGAAAGAGAAAACTGAAGGTAACTCCATCTAGGTCAGATGTGTGCCTCTCTCAGGACAGAAAGGGATGGAAGATGCTAATAAAAAACGGCCAGAGTAAGAGTGAGGCCAGGGCAGGTGAGAGGTTGCTCAGGTATCAGAGCAACCTCCAGAGTGAGTTGGAACTTGGATTAACCTGCTTGCGACTAAGGTGGTGCCATCTGTCATTACGTGAATTCTTGCTTTTAGACTGGGAGTGTCCAGCCCAGTGGTTCCTGATTTGCTAGCACACTGCCTCACACATGATAGGTGTTCAGAAAATGCTCATGGAATGACTAACTGATAACTGAGGGGATAATCATCCAAAATGAACTCAGTTGCATTTTGCTGTGAGGTAGACGGGAAGCGTTCTCAGAGAAGACACAACTTAATACACGGTTGATCTTGCGGAGTTACTCCACTTTCTGCACTCCTCTGTTGGCTTATATAATCTCTCCTGTTACTTCTCACTTTTTGCACTTTCAGAAAAGTCTCCTCACTCTTTAGTTTTCTTCTCTTCTTTATTGATTCTTATGTATTAAAATAGCCTGCCAGTGGCTCCCTGAGCCATGCTTGGCCTCACCAGTGATGTCTGGTTTGCTCTGTCTTCCTGTGTACTCAGGCACAAGGAGCAGTCTCATTGCTGCTGCCTTGTGAGGCTGCGAGTGGGAGCACTTCCTCTGACATGGTGGAGAGGTAGGGAACCTGCTTTCTGCTGCGATAGGTGACAGTGGGACAGTGACCTAACTGGCAGGCCTCTCCACTGACTAAAAAACCCCAGGGAAACTAGAAGCTTCCCCTGTGTTGTTGGAAACCCCTTTTAGTTCCCAGGTGTGAGAGGGAGTTTTCTCTTTCCAATTTGTTGAATTGTTTCAGCAACAAATTGGTGGAGGGAGGGGTGGGCATCAAATACTTGCACTTAGGTCATTGATTGGTTGTGTGTTTCCCGTGTCATGCTTGAGTCTGCTATTTAGACAAGAGTTAAAGAACACTTTCGAAAAACTTAAAAATAACCACCAATGGTATTTAAAAGTAGGACACAAACCTCTTAAAACTCTGGAGAAGATAAAGAGAAAGAAAATATAGTCCCAATACTAAAAGACAGAAAACAAAGGAAATCACAACAAACAAACAAACAAATAAACAGAATAGAAAGCATAATGTTACACAAGATAGCAGAAGACCAAACATGGCAGTTATAAAATAACAGATGTCAATGGGGTTACCTTTCCTATTAAAAGGAAAAGAAATTTTAGACTAGCTCAAGAAACAAAATCCAAGTAACAAAAAATGGCATAAAACATGTTGTTAGTTGATTTAATAGTGCGTGCTTGTATACTGCACTTTCCAGGTGCTGGGCACCGCGGTAGGACCATTCATTCCTTTCACCCTCCTACCTTTTGCTTGGCCCTCCAGGTGCACTCTTCACTTTGCTCCACCCTCCACTCTGCCCTGAAGGCTGAGCTGCCCGTGGTCCAAAAGGTGCTACTATGGGGAGGCAGCCGAAGAACCTCAGAGGAAGGAAGTAGGAGGCTGAGGTCAGGGCATGTAGTGTCCCCCGACTCCAGCCCCCTCCCAACCAGTCCTTCTGGGCTCCATTTCTCTCTTAGCTGAAGGTCACTGTTCTCTCAAGATATCTTGATCCACAAGACTCTTTCCCCTTATGAGCTCTGGTAACCTCTCTTCTTTCTCACCCCTTTGGGCCCAAGATGGTAAGAACTTGCTGCTAGCCCTAGGTTTCTGCACTGTCCTGTAGTGTTTCCTGTCCCTGTGTAAGTATTTGTAATTAGGCCTCTTATAAACAAACCTTCCTCAGATTATTCTAATTTGAGTGTACTGTCTGTTTCCTTTAGGGAGCATAACTGATACACAATTCTATGAGACAACTACTACTATTCTTCTTATTTAGTAGAGGAGGTAACCTGGGGCACACAGAGATTAGTAATTGCAAGATAACTTTATACAGGACAGAGCAACTAGCAATAAAAAACAAGTTTCATTCTCAGATAAATAATTTCTCTCCCTAAGCAAAGTGAAATAGATTTCTAATAATTAAGCTTCAGCTTTTCCAAGTGGAATCTTAGGTGAAATATGCCAGAGAGGCAGATGCTCTATTTCAGTGAATTGTCTGAAAAAGGTCATCCTCTGGGGAGTTTTGTAAAAGCCTTTAGCCTTGGAGGCTTGATAAGGTCATGGAGTTGGCTCCTCCTTTCTGTCCAGATGGTAGCTTGAGACTCAGCCCAAACTTTTCAGCTCTTCTTCGGTGAGGAGCCAGGAGCGGGTGAGTCATATTCCAGGAGGAGTCGTTCATATGGAATCTGTTCCATGAGGGAGAATGCCTGGGCAGAGTCTGTCCCTGGGACCAAGGTGGGAGAATAGGAGGGAGGCGGTCAACTAGTGTCACTTTCCCCTTTGAACAGAGAATATAAGCAGTATTTGTTGATCTAGTTTTGATCTGGTCTGACTATGTAAATGGGTTAAGGAGGATTAAAGTGGATTGTCTTTAAGTTGGAAGCCTGCTGGACCACCCCTCCCACCTGGCATAAGCCTTTAGCTCCAGTTGAATAGGTCCCTTTCCTATTCCTTAAATAGGTGCTAGCTGTCCCCCTGCAGCTAGGCTCCTCTGTTTGGAATGCCCTCTCCCTCAAAATTCACATTTTAGTTCACGCCCTTCAGGAAGCCTTTCTAAATTTCGTTAAGTTTTCATCCCATCTTCCCATAGCATGTTGTTCCCACTTCTATTATAGTACAGCTGGAGCTTTCTTAACTCACCTCCATGTAATCAGTTCCCAGATTAGCCGGCCCTCCATCACTTCCAAAAAGCTCTTGGCTTGGAGCGCCCAGCACGTGGCAGCTTGTGAGCTTCTCTCCCCTGCGTGCGGGCTTATCTCCGCTCACCTGCTGAGTCATGTGCTTGTCAAGGGCTGTTCCTACATCTCTTTGTACCTGTACATGTTCTAATACTTTGTCCTTTAATTAAATTTTCTATAAATGGATGAAAGGGATTGGAGTTGCCTTTGAAAATTTATTTGAATGTTTTGGAAAGATTCAGTAATGCAGATTTAGTAAGCCTTCAGTAAAGATTTTTACAGAACTCCCCAGTGGACGACCTTTTTCAGGCAATTCGCCGAAATAGAGCGTATGCCTCTCTGGCATATTTCATCTAAGATTCCACTTGGAAAAGCTGAAGCTTAATTATTGGAAATTTGTTTCACTTTGCTTGGGGAGAAATATTATTTATCTGATAATGAAGCCAGTTTTCTATTGCTAGTTGTACTGTACTGTATAAAGTTATCTTGCAACATGCTTTCTCTAAAAGCATGATAGTAAATTTCTTGCGGGTAAAACCACCATAAAATTTGGGGGAAAAGATGACAAAAGCCTGGGAAGAGTCTGTACTAGGCTGATTCACACCTGTATTTATGTCCTCAGTACACTTTCACGACTGTGATCCTGGAGTGAGCTTTACAGTGGATGTGACACTTGTGCTCCAATGAGCAGGCCCACACTTTGAAAGAAGAGTTCATGTTCTGACATCAGAATACTGGCACACCTTACACATTCGTGTGTTATATAAAATTTTAAGTCATGTGCGTATCATTTTTGTGATTCTCTGGTTTAACCAAGTTGTTTTTGATCTATTGACCTATTACCAGATCCAATCTTAAAAGAGAAATGCGCTGCTTCTACACTTAGGGTGTGCAGGATACAGGGTTAGTATCATATGTATCTCCAGTACTAGGTTGTGAACTTCTGGAAGGCAGTAGCTCTGCATGGTACCCAGTGTAGTGCTTTGCATTTATTCACTTATCAAACATTTATCGAGTTACTTATATTTATCAGACATGTGCATTAGAGGTGCAGATATAAATCACAGTCCTTTCCCTCAGGCGATTCATGGCAATAAAGCCACATGTTACGAAAGAATCCCAAGTACTAAGGTAATGGGATGTGTAGATATGATGGCTGTGTGGAGGATGGCAAAACTGACCGGAGAAGACTTCGCAGGGCAAGTAATTCTTGAACTAGGTTTTGAAAATTTAGCAAGATTTCACTAGGTAAAGATAGGATGGGAGGAAAAAGAGAACAACATGTGTGAGAAGAAAAAAAGAAAAAGACACGGTGTGTTCAGTGAAATTAGAGGAAGTGTTTTGCTGACCAGAGCACAGGATGCTGAGGAGTTTAGATTCTATCCTCAAGGACACAGGAGCCATTCGCTTATATCAGTGTTCAATAAATGAATGAACTAACAGTATACTGACCATTACAAATGAAGAATAATTTTAACCCAAGGCCTATCTCTACCAGATAAACACCACTCTCTGGTTTGTGAGTCTCTTTCCAACTCACTCAGCCTCCATCACCCCATGATCCACCTCTTCCTAGGAAACACTTGTGACCCTTCATCCCAGACTCCTCGAGTTTCAGTAACAGACAGCTAAACCAGGCCAGCTGAAACTGAGCATCCGACTGTGTAACATCTGTTTTTTTTTTTTTTTTTGCTTTTTCTAGGAGTACACATGTAAGATGGGACTGCACAACTGGCAGCACTGGGTTGCTTGGTTCATCGTGTTCTTCATTTGGGCCTTCATTGTTGTTCCTTTCATGATCATTCTCTTCTGCATAGAGGTACATGTCTCTTGTCTTTCAGGATGTGCTGGGCTATGAAGACATGGGGAGAAAATTTGGTGTGGTATGGGTGGTGGTGCTGAGATTCAGTAGATGATGAAAACAGTTATTGATGAACATTTAAAAAAAATCTCAGGTTAATATGTGGTGGTGTTTGCTAAAACCTTGGGAGATGAAGCTTTTAAACTTTATCATCTGGGAGAGCTTTGCCCTCCCTTCAGTTCCTTGGTCTTCAAGTAGTGGACGTGGGTATGGTTAATTTATTAGGAAAGTGGAATTCCAGAAGATGTATTTTATAAACTTTAAAACATTGCAAATTTTGTGCTCCATAAATAATTGAAAATAGTTATTGTAAAACATAAAGGCATTCTTTTATGCCCAAGGTATCTTGTTAATTTTTCCTTTTATGCTGTCAGTAGAATTTAGTGTTCCAATTCCCTAACTTGTGTTTAATAACTAAATTACAGTAATATGAACATATGAAAATTTATCTTCTAAATTATCAGAATTGGAGTACTTTGGACAAAGGAAGGCAAGAAAATCCAGACAATATGGCAAAATATGTAAAACAAAGAAAATGGCCAGAAAGCAATAAAAAGAGGAGATATATGATATTAAAAGGGACACTAAAATTATTTGCAATAGTTTTAATGGTAAATGGGAAAGCTCTCTTTTTAAAGAATTTTGGGGATGGTAATTAAGTTATTTATTTATAATTTTTTAAAATGGAGGTATGCGGGATTAAACCCACAACCTCATTCAAGCTAAGCATGAACTCTACCATTGAGCTATACTCTCCCCCCAAAAAACTCCTATTAAAGCAAAAAACAAATTCATATTGGGCCAAAAATTGAATTCAAACTCAAACTTTCCTTAAAAAAAGATACATGTGCAAAGCACAGTTTATAGATGGTAATGGAAGCTAGATCAAAGGTCTGCCTTAAAAATCTATATTGTTTTGTTTAAGATAACCTTGTTTTTTAAATAATGCATTGTTTTAACAATGCAATGTCTTATCTTCATTCTTTCATGTAAAAATTATGTGTATCTGTTATTGTTTTGTAGGTAAACTATGCAGCAGTGTTCAGAAACAGTGACCCTACTTTGATATTTGTTTTTCTTTTTAACATTTTTTTGAGTAATAGTCATTTTACAATGTTTTGTCAAATTCTAGTGTAGAGCACAATTTTTCAGTTATATATGAACATATATATATTCATTGTCACATTTTTTTCACTATGAGCTACCACAAGATCTTGTTTATATTTCCCTGTGCTATACAGTATAATCATGTTTATCTATTCTGCATTTTAAAATCCCAGTATGTCCCTTCCCACCCCCCACCCCCTTGGCAACCACAAGTTTGTATTCTATGTCTATGAGTCTGTTTCTGTTTTGTATTTATGTTTTGTTTTGTTTTTAGATTCCTCATATGAGTGATCTCATATGGTATTTTTCTGTTTCTTTCTGGCTTACTTCACTTAGAATGACACTCTCCAGGAACATCCATGTTGCTGCAAATGGCGGTATGTTGTCAGTTTTTATGGCTGAATAGTATTCCATCGTATAAATATATCGCATCTTCTTTACTCAGTCATCTGTTGATGGACATTTAAGCTGTTTCCATGTCTTGGCTATTGTAAATAGTGCTGCTATGAACATTGGGGTGCAGGTGTCATTTTAAAGTAGTGTTCCTTCTGGATTTATGCCCAGGAGTGGGATTCCTGGGTCCTATGGTAAGTCTATTCCTAGTCTTTTGAGGAATCTCCATACTGTTTTCCACAATGGCTTTCCTTGCTTCCCTCTCCCACTCTTAAAGATTTAGATGTCTTCTTTTACAATTTTGTGTTTATTCTTTTTGTAATTCATGGCAGTTATCTCCTTTCCAGTTATGAGTTTCTCATTTTTGTAGCATCCTTCTTATTTTCTATTTAGAGTAGACCTGTCAATATTTCTTTTAGCATGGGTTTAGTGTTGCTAAACTTCTTTAGTTTTTGCTTGTCTGTGAAGTTCTTTATCTCTCCTTCTATTCTAAGGATAGCCTTGCTGGATAGAGTATCCTAGGCTGCTATTCTTTTTTCTATTCAGGTACTTTAAATATTATCTTGTCCC